CAATGATAAAAACTAGCTGGAACTGAATAATGTAATAATATTTATAGATATATTTTTCATTGTTTTTATTTAAGGGCTCATACATTCTTAGCCCAAAATAATGTAATATTTAAATGGCCAAACTGAGACATCAGATTTAAATTCCCTAGTCATATAATTGAGAATGTAGTAATACTTAAAAAGGGTCATATAAAAACGTGTGTTTTTTTTTTTTAATTAGCCTCTAAATACATCTGGAGAAGAACATCGGTAAAAAAATCGTGTAACGACCCTCGAACATCATTTGATTCGAATGAGTTAAATATCGTACCCTGCCTATATTATCTATGAATAATGATTATTACATACTAATAGTGACGTTCACAGGTTTGTATTTGAAATTCGAAACTTCTCGACATGCACACTAGCCGAAGTAGCCGATGGGTAAGGAAGTAAAACGTCACCCTGACTGGTCTAATTAAGCATCGTACAGGTACTTACGCGTCCCGTCGCTCCGCTCTTATTTGTCATAAAGACTAATTCTAATGTTGCAGCGCCCCGTATCCTACTATTATTGCAGAGACTACGCGCGACGCAAACGGCTATTTATCGATACAATCTTCAACATTTTCCCTCGACCCTTTTAGCTGGTCTCAGGCAAAAATAGATGCCCGTATTTTCGCCCTAAACGTTTCCGCGCTTTCGTACCACGTTCTTTATCCTTTCAGTCTCACGATCGGTCTTTAAGCGAGGAACGTGTGATAAGGCTTGTGCAGTTGCACCTGGTTTTATCATAGACTTCGGATTTTATACTCGGTTCAAATGAAATGACAAGATTATTGATATGATCATTATTGCACTTTTTACTTGGCAATTCTTTGGGGACTGCAAAATATTCGAGATGTTGCAGTCTTATTCTTAATTTTATTATTTTCTCTTCTTAAAAATTTGTTGATCCCTATTGACGGAATCTAAATTTTTAGTTTTTTAGAATCTCATAATTCCAATATCGTAGAAATACTTAAAATAAAAAAATAAGTAAATAAATGAATAAATAAATAAATAGATGAATGAATAAGTAAGTAAATAATTTGATTAGCCAAAGTAAGAGATAGCGGTTGAAATAGAACGCTTTAGGCCACATGTTTGTGAGAAATCCGGCGTGCTCAAATAATAATTAATCCGGACCTATGGAGACATCCTGATTACGCGCGAGGATGAAAGCGCGAGGGAGAAAAACGAATGATATAACCGTTACGTAATACACGCTGCAATTAATTAGCTTTCAGAGCATCGGGATAATAACTCGGCTAGCTGACTGTGTAATTTCATATAGTGATTCAACGACACTCGATATGATCATCTCGGTTATTAAAGTGATTTGTTACAGGCCGAAGGTGAATGATGGTAGCAATGTTCGTTGTTTGTAATTAGCCAACTTGCGAAATCAATTACACCATTTCATTCTCAGATTATTACATACATGTGTACCTAGACATATTTTTAACAGGTACCATCATGTTTATATTTGAATAAACAGATTTTTATGAATATGTATCACCTGCTGTATACAATATTCTATCTAATGAGAAGTAAAGGATAATTTATTACATATTCTATGTATACTGATATGACAGCATAAGAGATGATAAAGAATATGATTGATGGTGAATTAAAAAAGTTAATTCGTGGAAGATCATATTTATGTATAACTAATAGATCAATTTTTATGAAAATGAAGTGAAATTATTCGCCACCTTCTATATACAGTATTCTATTTGATGAAGAATGAAGGATATTTTATCATATAATGACATGTGTATAAATATAAGGCATCATAAAAGATAATAAATAATGTAATTAATTTGAATTAAAAAACTAATTTGAGAATCATATTTATGTATAACTAAATTAATTTTCATGAAACTGTACCATCTTTTATATAAAATATTTTATCTAATATAAATCGAAGGAAATTTTATCATACATTCCATGTATACTGATGTGACAGCATAAGAGTCGACAAAGAACGAGATTGAGGTGAATTAAAAAATTGAACCGCGGAAGATCACGGATATGGAACGGAATGTTGCAGTATTGCCATTTGTCGATGGACGTTCCGCAAGGTGCATTCCGTTCTAAACGTTCAGAAAAGTAAGCGATGAACTATTGCCTGAAGAAAAATCAGTGGTCATTGGCTTTTCCTGAAACCGACCCCAGACCAGACCATCCATATCAGGTTCTAAATCAAGAATAAGAATAAAACAGCCCGACCGGAAATTAGGAGAGAAGATGAACAATGAATAATTGCTGATATCCAATTCTGTTTCAAGCGATAAACAGAAAGATCAGTGGTTATCGGGTTTAAACATACGCGCGCCGGAATTATTCTCATCACGTCCGAAATCAAAATAAGAATGAGAAACTCAACCAGAAATCAGGAGAAAAGAAGGGAAACTGAACGTTCTTACAGAAACGTGGCACAAGAATCTATAAAGTTTCCCCTCGTTGAACGATAGATAATGGAGGGTAGCGAAGAAATCGTTGCGAGGAGACGCGACGGGACCGATTTAGAACCGATTCATCATCATCATCATTATCACCGCGCGTCGTAGATCAATTGCACGATGCGCCTATGGTTCGTCACCCTCGCGCAAGTGTAACGAACCGTGGCATTACGCGTTTTACTCAGATTCCACAGAGATATTGAAATCTGGAATAACATCCCCCCTGCGCTTTCTTCGGCGCTCACCGTGAAACTAGACCGAAAATAAAAATACTTCGTACGAAATTGCCCCCGGCACGTAGAAAATTGTAAAAGGTTATTCTAACGAGTTTAATTAACTAATAACGATCGATATTCACGAGACGAGTAGCCGGTGCCGCGTAGAAAGCGTTACGACGTGGCTGAACGACGTTCCGTTTCACCGAAGCTCGCCTGTTCCTGAAAATACCTATTTCACGCGAGTAGAGACAGTAAGTATCCAATCTGATACGACACGTATGTATATAGGGTGTCGAAAAAGTGCTAGAGTCGAAAAGGGGTGATTCTGGTGGTGTTTTTGAACAACAATTTCCTTTGCCAAATTGCGAAGTGAGGCATGGTTTTTAAATTATTAACGAAAGACACTGACCGATAAGAGCACGCGTAGGGCTCGCGCTCAGCCACGGGTAGATTAGCTCGGATTGTGACGCTCGGTCTAGCAGTCTAGCCTCAGCGCGGGCCTTATACGTACTCTTATTGGTCAGTGTTTCTCGTTAATAATTGAAACACCATGCCTCACTTTGCACTTTGCCAAAGGAAATTGTTGTTCAGAATCACCTCTCTTCGTGTGTAACATTTTTTCTGGGACACCCTGTATACATGCACGGTACGCAGGTTGAAATCGAACTGCGCGGCGCTTAACCACGCCGGATTATCTGCGGATCTACGGAGAAAGTTATCGCGTTCGCCGCGAATAATTCACAGATCACGCGCGACCGGTCGTTAGACGGTGAAAAATCGAACGCAGCCGTGTCTGATCGTTGAGAAAAATGAGAAGTGACCGACGAGAGCATCGCGCGGGAACTGATCGAAAACGAGGATGAAGTAATCGAACTATACAGTGACTTACTGATGAAAGAATCTACGCGAATGATTGACGGGGCAAATGGGATCCGGCTGCCGATGGACGCCGTTTAACGATTTACATGTTAAACTGCAGGAAGCGTCGGCCCGTCGTCGTATCCGACGAGTAATCGTAACGATCGAACATTAGCGGAATCGGATGGTTCACGCAGCGCAGACCCAACGGTCCGAGCATCGTCGGCCGCATGAACAGTTAACGTTCGCGAGATGAATCCCTGTGAGGAAGAATTCCTCTCTCCGCTCCGATCGACGAAAAAAGCTCCTCTCTTCTATCGCCTCCACCGGCGATCACGTTCGCGGAAAAAATGGCTGGTTTAATCCCGAACGAATCCATTCATTGTGGATCAGTCACCCGGAGACTCCGTGTCCCATCGTAAAAACCGATCGATAGTGCGTGCCGGAGGTAACAGGTACTCTTTAGCCACGCTATAGCAAGCAGCGAGTTTAGTCGCCGACGGATCTTCTTGCATGCTCGAGCAGAGTCTGCCGAGGGTCAGTGGAACAAAAACCGAGAGCAAGCCACGGATAATGAAACTTTAATTGATAAAATAGATTGCACTGATAAATCGACGATAAAAAGATTCGTTCAGTCTCGAAGGATACAATTTTTATCCATTTCTGTGATGAAGGTTCGAACGGGTAATCGTAAATGCGAAGCGGCGAGGGATGGTGGTTGTTCGCGCGCGGCGAAAACCGAGGGGAGAGTGAATCTTGGAAATGAGCGTCGCGAACGAAAGTGTGTCGCCGCCGGTTCTGGCACGTATTTCCTTTTCTATGTCCCAGAGGGGGGCATAGAGTTCGGAACGCCGAAGTACCCGAGGAGAGGACTCCTCCGCGAGGCGCGTAGCCCCGCAGGTGGGGGCAGCGACATAAGTACGAGACGGCGTTAAGAAAAGGCTTCATTCTGATAGCAGATCGCGATTCACGGAAGTCGGTGAACTCGTAAATCGCGGTCGAGTGGCCAAACCGGCGGACGAGCGTGAAAATACCGAGAGAGGAGGGAAACGTAACGCGTCGAAGCCGCCGCTGTCGACCGCGATCGAAATTCGAAATTCGGATGCGCGAGACCGAGGGGGGCCGTGGTAACCGCGTTGGTGATCGTTCACGGGTGCACCGGGTGCAGTTGCAAGCAGGAGACGTCCAGGACGATTGAGCGACGTGGATCTTCAGGCTCGGCGAGAGACGAACGAGGTGGGTAGTGTACAAACTTTACACGGCAATCACTCGACGCGATACGGGCGCGAATACGTGGAAAAGCTGGGTGTTTACCTGAGCCGAGGGACTTCTTTGTCGGGAGAAACACGGCTAAATTTTTCTAACTAAACGTCTTCGAATATTAAAAAGAGTCTGTGACTTCGTACAGCGACTGCTAAAAAAGAAATCGCTGCTTCATGGATTCTTAAATCAAGAGAAAGATCTTGCAACTATGCACTCGGCTATTTCGGAGTGAACGATAAAAAAAAGTGGAAGGGACAACTATGAGGAATAAGACAATAAGTATTCAAGACGCGCCGCGGTTTAATCGGAGTTGGAAGATCGTTGAATGGCGCGGTTTTACCACGATCGTTATCGGTTCCGTTAAAATTTCCGTGGTTATCAGAAGTTAACGCGGAGCATTCGCACAACTCATTCGCATACCGTCACTGCTCGGGTGGATATACACGTTCGGAGGGTCTAGGGAAACGGTAATTCCGAGGGACGTGAACGCGTGGTGAGGCGCGGCGCCGCGGCGACTTCCTTGTTGCCACAATGTTACGCAGTTACCGCGGTCGAGTAGACGCGACGAGGTTCGGAGTAGGAAAATGATGAAGGGTGCCTAGCGTATGCACCCGACGCTCTTCGTACAGGAGATCGTTGGCTCCGTCGATTTGCAAAAAACTACAGAACAGAGTGTCGCCGTTAAGCACCCGGCTGGCGCGATTAGCATAATCGGACTTGGATAATCAAACGCGAGCATCGCAGCTCAAGTACGTCGATTATGGTTATATAGGCTTTATATAGACAGGTGACAAAGAATGATTATATGTATTTGAGACATGCAAGAAAAAATATTTTATAAACGTGAAGTAAATGTTCCAATTTTTGTTCACAATTTCTACATTGGTATATTTTTTATAATTTAATGTTATTTTAGAATTGTATAATGATTGTATGAATTAGATTAAATAAGCCAGTGAGTAAATGCAGAGTGCATCCTGACCAGAGTTATACGTCGTATTACCGAGGTCAAATAGATGAAAAAAGTTCAGTAAACTTATGTCAAAAAATGCTTTATTGAAGAGATATATGTTTCTAAAGATATTTGTGATTCAGTATGACAGCTATAAGAAATGTCCGATTTTTCATTTTGTAAGAATGCAAGTTTCTATTATATATCTGCATTGAACATAATAGTAAGTGAATTTTGAATACATTCCCAGGGTTCGACTTCTGGTATCATCGTATTTTTATAAATGATCTCTTTTACTTGACCTCATAAATAAAAGTCTAGAGGCGTTAAGTCAGTTGACCTAAGAGGCCAACTCCGTCGTGACCGTTCAGGGAATATTCTATCAAGAAAATCACGTAGATTCCGTTCAAAATGTGGCAAGACACGTAATTTGCCTGTAAATCTATGAATTTGTATATCTTCCCAATGAAGTATATAAGTTTATACATATATTTGCATTTATTTGACCTCGGTAATATAAGTTTGATTACGATTTTTTTGAACACCTTGTATATTATCTTAGAATTATAGAGAAAAAGGGGAGTGAATCGAATTTTATATATCATGTTAAAATGATAGAAAAATGAGTCAGTCATCAGTGAGTGGAAATTGGAAAATAAAGAAAAATTGGAAAATCCACCTTGTCATAATTTTAGGGTGAGAACAAAACGTTTTTTCCTTAGAATCTCGTCCCGGAAACCTAAATATGTTCCCCCTTAGATTACATCTTGCACTGGTTGTGGGTCGTGGAATTTCGTGAACGATGTTAACGACGAGATAAGGCCGGAATAACAGTTTTAAAATCGTGCACGATCCGGTAATGCAAGCCACTTCTCGACTACGTCCACGTTTCACACGGTTATCTTATTTTATATAGTATAATGTATATTAATGTGTTGATGCAATAATACTGTGAACCACTTACCATTCTTTGCATAAAAACTAAAACATTCATCGATAAGAGAATTAATCGAATTTTGATCAAATTTGGTAGGCTAGGTAAAATCAAATTTTTAAAGATAAGGAAAAGTTGATTAAAGATTTCATTCCTGTATATTTAATATTGCGGTTCATCGTCCAACGGCAAATACAGAATGGAAAGATAGAAAAATCAATCTAATCAAAGATACAAAAATATTAGGATAATAGGAACTCATCAGGAGAATCTGAATAAAGAAGGAAGGGTAGATAGTCGATATAATTAATGGTACAAGTTAGATGTGGGACTACAGAAAGGTAGAACAGATATTAGGAAAAGTAGAATTAACAGAGCTATGACTTGTGTGATAATATATTTGGTATGTTGGAACATTTAGTCAGGGACTGTTGGGATACGAAAAGAACAATTAGATTAAGAGTAAGTAAGTAGTAAATGGAACGATTGACGAGAAATAGAAAAACAGCTTAAGAACTTGTAGGTACAAATTGTAATGTGTAGTGTGAGAGATAAGAGTATAATTACATATTGTAGATATCGTACGTAGTCTATATAGGATTTAGAGCTAAGTACATAGTAATTAAGCAAAATAGAAATGAGAGAGATTATGTGATAGAGGATCGAGAATGTGCGAAAGAAAAAGATAGGTACAGTGAAAATAGTAAATGTAAACCAAGTCATTTCTTGGCTGCAAGGTTAAAATAAAAAATTATTATTAAATTATTATTATTACGTCTTATAAGAAATACGATTTTCATTTCCATACATATACTAAGACATTTGACACTCAGATGTTTTACTAGA